CCAAGGTTACTTTCATTATGGCTTTTTACCTCTTTTATTTGTCTGTGAGCCATATTAGTGAGGTAGATGCTTAATAACCTGTCCTAGTTATTATGTTTGAATGAAGTGTGGTTTCTCTATCATTCTCATTTATCATCTATAATCCTTCTGAAGGTTACAAGTTTATTAAACCATTTTTTCATCGCTCTTTCCATTAGGTGCCAGGAAAATCACTATTCACCACTGCCATGGCATGCCATTGAGAGGAAACTGAGTGGTTTTACTTTCATTGACAGTGTTAGGGCTTAGCGCAGACGACAGCTCATTCACATCAACAGGAGCATGTAAAGATTTTGAATGGATATTTTCATTTTGCATATTTTTTTACTATGTCAACTTTAAATATTTATGCAAGGTTAAAAAATCATTGACACTGGATTGAAAAGTGCTTCATAGCGTTGGGTTGCAGGAGGCGGAGAAGTTGCAGCCATATCAGATTTATTCCCATGATCTAAGGAGCTATGAATAATTAATGCATGGAGAGCTTAAGTATTTACTGTAAACTGGGGCTGATAACTTGACAAGCCAATTTCTATTGTACTGGGTGGGCTTGTACAACAAACTAAACTGTTTCCAAAGACGCTTTATTTTCTATTATTGTCTGTAAACAGCTCAGAAGTCACTTGTGGTGTAACTTTGGCTGTGCTTGTCACCTCATCGTGGAATCGCCTATTTAGTTAGCAGAGTTTGCACAGTATCCTGAGCTAGTCGAATGTCCTTATGTTCTGGTGAACCAAACTTTTAAATCAAGCTATAGAGGGAAGACAGGTTTGCAGTGTGCGCCCTCTGTCTGTATTAAGCTCTTTCGACTTAGTAGTGGGTCCAGGGGGAACATTTGTCATGTCCTCTTTTCCAATTTTCACTTTATTTTTAATGTCTTTCTCGCTCAGTCTTCCTGGCCCTCTGTCCTCTGCTGCACCTTCGGCTGTAAGAGGTTTCTTTTCACCACTGCTCTCATTATCACTGAAATTTGTTTTATTTATGCCTTCTATTATATCCAAAACTCCCACTCTTGGACTTCTGCCCTGCTTGTTTTTCTTATGGCAGTTTTTCAATTTTCCTCTTTGCCTCTTGATATTTTGTGCTTGTTTCAAATGTTCTTTTTATCTGCTGTAAATAATTCCTTTTGTTCAAACTTTCCATTCTTTTATCCCAGCCACTTTAGTGTTGACTTGCCCCCAGTTGACATGGCTTGTCCACCTGCTTTATATAAAGTTTGACAGCATCCCATCCCAAGAAAAAGGCCAATTGTGACCTGTATAGGAGAAGTATACTGTTCTTGATTGACTTGCTGATAGCTTTCTGATTGCAGGACTTCCCAGAGACACATCTCTTCTTGTTGGGGTTGTTGAAACACTGAAATCAAAGCTTGATTCAGTAAGAAGAGACTTCACAGACTTTGCTTCTTGCCGATCGTTTACTGACCTTTGAGAATCAACAAATAATGAACGCTGCTTTGTATGGTGCTCATTTCAACATTTGAATCATTCATTGCAAGTTACTAAAGAAGTCACTTCTACTAGTGGCAGCATGTCTCAGCTTAGCATGTGTTTCACATCCACTGTATTAGCATTCAGGGAACAGTGTAAGAGTATTTCACAGCCGTGAGCTCCAGTCAGCCTTGATGTCCTCCTGCCACATGTAACAAAGTGATGGGAAATTCAAGAATTGCTCTGTTTTGCATTTACTGAAAGACTGTGGGAAGCATGTGTGTTGTTTTTACCCAGATGTGGTTTGAATGGGGCGCCATGCTGTTTTCTTATTCTGTATTTTCTGGTATTCTCAGTGTGTAAATTGGTTTTGATAAAAGATACATCTGTGAAGTAGCTGTTGGGCTAAATCTGTCTGTATCAAAACTTTCATTAATATAGTTAAGTCTTTGTTTTTGCTGGCTGGTGCCACAGCTAATATCTCAGCAAGAAGGAGTGAGTCGGATACCACTGTGTGCTTTTCTGGGAAAACAAGTCATTTGGGACTTTGAGAAAAAAAAATACAAAAAAAAATGTGGCCCATAATTCACTGTGACTGCTGAAAGTTGACTGGCATTCACAGTGGTATGCTGTGAAGCACTTTGACCAATTCCACTTGTTTGTGCTGCTTCTGACTCTAATGAGGTTGTGAATTGATTGAACTCTAAAAGAAGCCAGCATGTACCCATGGCATCTAAAGTGTCTTTCTGTCACAGCGCAGCCTGAGACACAGATTTCTTAGTGGACATCTCTGTTCAATTTCCAAGGCAGGTCAAAGTCGAGTTTGTCAGTACACTTCCCCTCACCAAATCCTCTGCTGCGTCTTTGTGGAAGATGGACTGCTCATTCTCAAATTTTCCCCTGACTGAAATACTCTTTTATTCATGCCTGGAGATCATTTATCATTATCGTCATTAAAAGTAGCCGCCAAGTTATCAATTACACCAGGACGAGATGCAGATTGAGCTGGGGATGATGTGAGAGCTACCCTGACGCAATTAGTCTGATTGCTGTTATCAAGCAGAGTGTGAATCCAAACACATGCTTTTGTTGCATCTGCTGCTGACAAGTGAATCTTTGGCTCAGAGCTGTCATTCATCATTGATTTAAATACGGCTTCTGCGGGGCTGAACGATCTTCCCATAATTGGAGATCAATTGGATTTGTGAATCAGTGTAAATCCTCACATTTGATGGATTATCTGTCATTGATGTGGCTGAGTTTGGGATGTCTCTGTTTGCTGGTGCTAAGGCTTTGGAGATTGGAGCTGGGTCAAACGCAGTCGTCCCTGGATGCTGCGAGGCCAGTGGTTCTGCCTTGTGTTGATAAGTCTTCTCTGCAGGCTCTCTCTCAATATTTTTACCAATCATGTTTTTCTGGTTCAACAACTGCTGTGCTGACATTATGGTATCCATGAACATCCCTCATTATTTCTTGTAATAACAAAAAAGACAAAACAACTTCCCCTAGGGCTTCAAATTACATTAGAAAGTACAGTTATAATTATGTAAATTAAAGTGCACTATTTTCAGCAAATCTCAAATATGCACTGTATGCAGGGCAGATGAAAACTTCAATGAAATAATCCAATTTCTAGAGATGAAAGCATGCTCAGTGCTGCTCCTCCATATATTGACTTGCATTAATTATGCTTTTATGCCTGCAGTCTAATGAGATTGGTTAGATTTAGTTAAGAGAGTAGAGTTAGAGAAACAACACTAGTAATCAGGATGTTTTCACTGTGTTTTTGTGAGATAAAATTATAATAAATATAGTTTATGTTTTAGTATAGGGTCTGGCATGTGTTAATTAAATCCCAAACAGGTCTGCTCATTTTCTAGAGTTGTAAAATTTGTTTCCAGACATTAACACAAATATAATGCTCATTTCAATCATTGAATCATTTGTGTTAAAATAAGAACAGCACAAATGGTAAATAAATACCTATAGATTAAAATAAAGGACAGACCAGAATACTATTGAATTGAGATTAATATGACAAGTTTGTGAAGCCAACCTCTAACAGAAATGATAAAGGTATCAAAGATAAGGTTTCTCATTTATGGATCAGTTTTTCAAAAACAGCAAATCTCCCATAGAGTTATATAGGCCCCTGCCCTCCAAGGAATTACGACATAATCAAACATGAATGTAGTGTTTTGGAAGATTAAACATAAACTGTATAATATGCACTGTGGATTTAACTACAACTTTCCACTTAATATCCTAATTTGGGTTACAGAAAGACAAAGAGGTCTAGTGAGAGGTCCATAATGATAAAAATGTATCCTTATTATCTCTGGTGTGTAACATTCGTGCTTAAAAGTAAGAATGATCACTGTATCAAACCTCTAATGAGCTGTAATTTGGAGACGATTATTTGTCCATTTATCCGACTATAAAGACTGACATACCGAAAAGCAGGTGGAACCCGAGTATTAAGCCGTATTTGTGTGGAGTCCGGTGTGGAATCACATCAGTCGCAGTGTTGTTATTAAGGTTTAATCCGGCCGAGCGGCAGGTATCAGTTGTTTGCACACGTCCACAGATGGTATCCACTCTTACAGGGGGCTTATGCTTCGTCCCAGACCAGTAAACCTCTCCTTAACAGCCCCAGCATCATCTCGAACACCAACTGAAGATCTGAATTACATTCAAGGACACACTCAAACACTACTCATTATGTGTGGATTTATGCCTCACTGAGAATTAAACTATTAGAAATGAAACCATTATTGTGTGAATTAAAAAAAGAAAACACACACACACACATTAGATGAAATGTATTTTGAGCTGTTTTGAAACATTTGTGTTTTGGTTCAAAGTAGAAATAAATCAAAAGGCATCAATATAATGAATGACTGTGTAAACTACAAGTTGTTCCTTGTCCAGACTAGCCCTTTAATCTGACTCTGTACATTTGCAAACATGGTGCTTGGACAGCCTTGTGTTATCGTGTTGACTAGGCCCAACTCTCCAGTGGCCCATGTTTGAACTGGATCACAACAGACAGTAGGAATGAAGATAAATGAAACACACCAGACAAAGCTAAAAGTCCAACAAAAGGCTTTATTCAGTATTGTTTTGTGAAGCACAAGATACAGCTGAATAGACACATATAATTTAAATACAACAGCCATTGGCTGTGATTATTGTTGAACAGTGGAAAAAAGGTTTTGAGACAACTGCTGCACCACATGTGGAGTATTTATAGAGATGAACTGTACACAAACACATAGGAGGTGTCAAGGACAGACCAGAATCATGTTAAACTCATCTGGCATGGGTTATGTAAACGAATACATTAGCAGCTATATTAAATAAATTGTTAGATTGTATGAACAATTTGCATTCAACATGTTTTACATACTGTAGAAATAGGTCACCTTGGTTTCCACACTGAACATTGAAATAGGTAATTATTAAAACAATGTTGGTAATACAAAGTGGAACAGGAGCAACGACAGTCAGGCTCTTGTAACGCATCAGTATTCATGCGAGGAGCTTCGTACAGGAGTGCAAAATCTCAAGGCCGTGTAGTTCTCGAAGTTTATGCATATGTCTGGAGGTGAAGAAACACAGAATTAGCTGGAAACACACTGATGGCTTCTTGAGTGGGTTGGAGGGTAATTGAATCTAACGTCTTGGAAATTAGAGCATGCGATGTGAAGATCAACATATTCTAAGCACTGCCACAGGAGAACAATCGCCTGGAGTGTTTGAGTAGAGCACTTTTCAGAACAAAGATAATCTTACATCTTTTATTGTTTGGGACACTGCACTTCACCAATTATATTCACATTAAACAGCTGTAACAGAAACTGCCTGGAGAGCCAACTCACTAGTGTTTGTTTTTACGCTTCTGATCATGATCTATTTGCATAATTTGAGTTACAGAACTTTTGATGCAAAAAATACTCCTTATTGCCACACAAAATTCATGGTGACTTTAGGAAAGCACAATTTAAGAGTTGTTGATACCAGTCAGTCAAATGGTTTATTATTGTAACATGTGATGTCAAGCAATCCCTCTCAGGTGACAGAAAGATGAATTCAAGCAAACAATGCACAGAAGGATTACAGTGCTGTGTGAGATATTAATATCTGCCATAACAGGTATCTTAATAAAGAAGCTGTAAATGTTCAAAAATACAACCCTTCCATAGTTGACCTATTTTTCAGTGTTTCTGCTGCAATAGACTGTACTCTGTGAATTCAGATGCATTTGAATAGTAATACAACCATGGCATACCGTTATCACCCTGTTTTTATTAGTCTTACTCTCAGACCTTCTATTCTCTTATCCTAAATATAACCCCACTTGAAAGTTACTGCCATGCACTGTATTTTTGAGCTTTCAACAAGGGCCACTGTTAACTTTATCTGGAGTCTTAGCTACAGTTACAGCTGGCTTTATTCTTTTGGGAGATATAGATAGATAGAATAGATAGATCATAGATAGAATGTGTTGCAGTTTAGATACTGCAGTTACATGATCACAATTTGGCCTATTTAACACGATGAAGTGAGAAGAAAATGTTGACTTGCCGCCTGATATATTGTCAGCATACATAATCTGCATTATTCACCATATTTGTGTATAGTGTATACTCTCTTTATCCTATGGCTCAGATCACTTGTGCTGATCTAAGTGCTCCAGGCTACCTTTGCTGATGTAACCATGACCTCCATGACCATCATGACCTCTCATAGATAGGTATTTTACCTGGGCTCTGATCTGCACAGTTTCCCCAGAGCTATAGCAGCATTTTTTTGAACAGCTGTTGTCTTGGTGTCAGCCGCAGCGTGGCGGAGCAGCAGAAGCACAACGTCGGTGCCTAGCAGGTTACTCGCAATTCCAGCCAACTCAAGGCAGTGGGCCACACACAGGGCAGCATTTCCACAGACAACCTCATCACAGCTGGACTCCAGTAAATGACGCAAAATGGACAACCCTGTGAAACATCAAGTATATGAGCACTAGGTTTTTGTAGGCATGTTGATTGTAAACATAAACTCATCTACATATTGGGCCAACTAATAATTGAAGTGGTAAAAGAAATTTGGAGCATTCCAATCATGTCTTACTTTTATCAGCCTTCACAAGCTCCTCACGGGCCAACTGATTGGCAGCAGTGCACACAGTCAAAGTCCTTATGGCATACTTCGTGGCAGTCTGCCCTGTTCCCTGTATGTCCAAGCAAAAATAATAAAAGTTGGTAAAAAGGGAGAATTTTACAAGCTCTGAATTACATAGTGCACAAGCGCAAGTACTAGGTATTTGCAATGAGAAATCAATAAAAAAGAAAAATATGTAATGTGGCAGCTGTAGCCATCTTTTCCTATAATAACATGTTAATTTACTGTAGCACCTTTAAAATCAGCAGCATGTTCCTGACCACTCCTCTCTGGACAGCACACTGGACCGCCTCGGACGACTGCAGGAGGACATGGCTCAGAACCCCTGTGGCTCTCTGGAGGGACAGATAGAGGATGCAGCAACGTTACAGGTAAAAGTTCAATTTGAATTCAGCTCGGGGCAGTTCATGCTGTTGGATCATTGGACAAGGCACTTCCCTTCATGTCTGTGTGAATGTGGTGGTAGTCCAAAAGTGTGCTCCTATATTATGCCACTGTTGTAAGCACATGAAGTCATGGAACATTAAAAACACAATATTAAATATAAACATAAAAAATGTGAGTGGATAGTGAGGCTACATAAATGGAATAGCATTATTCTCCCACAGTGTTGTTGACTGAATACATAATGTATTATGATTACACTGGAGGTGCAATAACGTGGCAACAGTTACATACATGGAAAACATGTGTACAGTTAGTCTGGGCTGTATTTTCAATCAGAAAGCTTCATTTATTTATAGCTGTTTAGGTGTCAACTTTATGTGCTTTGAATTTTCAAAATTATCTCTAAAATTATAGGTCTAAAAAGGTTAAATTGTCAAGAAGTGAAATTCAGCTGAAATAAGTGACAATAACTTGCAACCTTAACTGAAACTGAAGCTGCAAGTAAAAGACCTGAGCATTCATGAGAACGTATGACTAGGACATGTCTGTAACCTTGATGATCTCCCAACTATTGATTCTAGTTACAATGAGCTGCAACCAAAGTGAATGAACAAAGCTTTGCTTGTTTATTCTGGTACTATAACATACCATCAAACAAATTAAATAGTGTTTAAGAGTGACTTGATAACTTCTCACCCAGAACAAGTTACATTCTGTTGCAGGATGTTCTAGTTGCAGTGTGTCACTTATAATCAGCTCATGCACTTGTATGGCCGACTGAAACTACAGAAATATCCAAATAAATTGTTATGAGTTTATAGTCTGTGCTGAAGAACAAGGAAAATGTGTTTTTCATTTAAAATTGGCAAAATGATGGTAGTGTTTGTTATGTCAGATGGCCACTAGAGGAAGGCTTAACAGTTATTTTAAAAACATAATCCATCACAAAAACAGAAAAATAAAATAGATAAATTAACAAATTAAATGAAAAGGGAAATAATGAAGCATAAGTGTTAGAATAATGAATATTTAAATAAAGAAGCATGACAGATGGGGGAAAGGGCTCTGGGGGCATTGCACACAGTGTGAAACTGTTAAGACAGTTATTTACAGACTCCAGCACCTGGTCTTTCATCAGCTGAAAATCATGAAAGGATTCAGCGTCTTAAAAGAAGAAGAATGTGTCCCTCTTGTGGTTTACTCACCATCACCACTTCACCATCACTGTCCGTCAACATGCCAAGACAGCTATCACAGATAGACACCGCAAGCTCCTATAAAACACAGCTACTGGTGCCTTATTCAATTTTCACATACATTTCACATTTGAATAGGTGCCATCACACTTTATTGTACACACAAGTCTGCACTATGACCTTTTCACATTCACCTCTTGCACGCTCTGTGGACTTAACATGTTTACTAACTTGCATATTACTTATTATGGCACAAAGATAAATAAAACATGTTTGATTTAATCATGTTGATCAATAATTGATATTAATTCAACATGAATGACAGTGAATCTGAGATCCTACCCCATGACTGCAGCACAGACCAGCTGTATTATACCTGAACAGCAGGTGAAGGGTGGGCTGAAAGGTTGATCATCAATCCAAGCAGAGGGTAAAGAATACCTTTGTATTCAAATGCTGTGTACTCTTTCTATAGAAAACAATAGAGAGGTTAACAGTACACTGCGTGACAACTAAATCAAGAAAATGTAGCCATTAGAATTTTTCTCTTCACTTACAATAGCAACCAGAAAAGCTTTCCAGCAATCTAAGTCATGAGATAGTTTGTGTCGAATGATGTCATCTCGAGCCAAGCAGCTGATGGCCGATAGCAATGCCGGGAGAACAGGCTGATGGGATTTGTTGATATTTGTCTGAAATAAAGGGTTTTTCAAAGTGACTTGTCTGCGCGCGCACACAGAATAACATACATATCTGTACAATATAATGTGAAATGTACAGTACTGTCTGTATGCATTATATACACTACTTACCAGTATGGTAGTAAAAGGAGTCATGACAGCTTCTACTAAACCAGGCCTCAACAGACAACAAAATCTGGAATACAGATAAGAATAGTGTGATGCATTAGCACCTGCAGTTGAAGAGGATACTGTATGTTGGATATTTAAAAGTGTTCCGGTATTGAACATCTATTGGAGATCCCGCAGGGATTCAAAACTAGATCAAGAAAAAAAAATGTGATCAAAGTCTCACATTGACATGAGAACAGAAAGTAGAAAACCTCCGATAGAATAGACCAGTCCTTTGAGCTTTAGACAGAGAGTATTGATCTGAGCATTTCACTGCCTAGCACCATGACTTACAGCCTGCTGTGTTTTGGAGCCTGAGCTGTCTTTTGAGTCTATTTTCACACCAATGGTATTTACATATTAGCATTCAGAGAGCAAATATTTCCACCAAAACCTCATATCTCCTAAGTGTGTCTCTTAACTCCTTTAGCATGAACAAAAGTACAATATATTTGAAAGTTTCTTGTTTCAGCTTTTTTTCTTTGAACATACTCTCAGACTCTTGTAAAAGCAGTACCTATTTTCTGATGCAAAATTCTCCAAAATGTTCACTGCTGTGTCCTCCTGCTGCTGCCCGGGCTTTGAGAAGCACGCCATGAGGTTCTTGGCTAACCTTTAGATCCACAGGAAACCAAGAGTTTTACAGCAAATAAGATCAAAAAGAGACATTAAGGGTAAAGGTTAAAGTAAAGATAAAATGCCATGCTCCTAATAAACTATTATGCGGATTTCCCTGAATTTTATGAACACAGATAATTATCATGTGCCCCTTAGAACCAGTAGAAGATTAATCTAATAATGAAGCCATAACAGAGTAATACTACAATTAAATCAACCACACATTTCATTAAATTGTCTCATATGCAATGTACAGATAATATTATTTAGGCCTTGAACTTAAAATGATTTAGACGCAGTTATAATGTTATAGAGATGGCTACACATACTATAGTAATATTACTATTAATTGTATCATATATGAAGTACAGATAATGACAATCATACTAGTCCATCTCTGGGAGTATTAAAATGAAAAGCAACAGCTGTGTTTCTGTAAGAGAATATCAGAGGTCTTACATCTGCACATCCAGATTGTCAACAGCCAACTGTCTGCCACGTGGTGTCTGTGAATATAAAAGTAGTAAACTCAGGCATTCTTTCTGTACTGCCCCATCATCAGACAGCAAATACTCTGCTATGGACTTCCTGAACACTGGACATGCCATTAAGGTCTTCTGGTTTTCATCTGGAAAAGAATTTTTAACAAAGATGTTACTAAAAAGTCTGACAGGCTTCTCAGGGGCTTTACATTAGTCCATTCCACTTGCATTCCTCCATCGAATACACAAATGTAAGCTTGTTGGGAAAACGTAATGGCCCTGGGGCTGATTGGAACTGAGTCATGACTGCCACCCAGTGCTTTACAGTAAATATTCCTGTAGTAGGAATCAAACTGTGTCTATACCAAAAAAGCTACTGCTACCTTCATATACAAATCATTAGAATATGCAGTACTGGTGCTACTACCTACCATTTTCACTACAGATTGTTTGCCATAATTTCAGAACAGTCACACAAAGCTCCTGGCTGAGTGGATCGGTATATCCTTTCAACAGGCAGCTGTAAAATAAGACAAGATACACACACATACACACTTAGCTCAGATGCGATAATGATAACTAACAGCATAAGTGAGCCACAGCTGTTTGTCCACTACGTTGATGAGTAACTACAACTTGTAAAACTGGCAAAAATTTGGTCTTGACAGTAGTGATGGCAAAAGCAAGATGATTGGGCTGAAGAGGAAAATTACCACTCTTGTGTCAAAAAGGGTCATGGAACAAACAGAAGTAAATTGATGACAGTAGTTAGACTTTAGGAATAAAGATATGGTTATTCTGCTCAATAACCACATACATTTCACTGTACAATTTTGGCCACCTTACATTTAGGTTTCAAAAGTGGCAGTCTAGACAGTAGAGTTGACAAAAAATCAAAGCATGATACATGGTTCTCGCAATTAATACAAAATTCCTTATATTACAGTGAGAAATGTATCAGTATTTTTAAAAATCTAGAAAACTGTGGAAGTCATTATTTGTATCTTTAAAACTTGCTTTTAAGAGACATTTCTCTGTCCATCTCTATCTTGAATGTGATTTGTTTTTGTCTTTGGCCTATTGCACAAACAACACAGCAGAAGTGTGGAGTGGTACGAGAGACGGAGAGGGAAGGAGGAATGATCTCCTAGTTTCAACCATCATTGTCTGGGTATGTGCCTGTCCCTAGATCCATCTGTCAAAGCTCCTCTGAGGCCGCACAGCTACCTATCCCTTCACTCTGCTTACCTCTTGACTATGTCATTGTCGTTGATGATGCTAAAGCCATTGTTCAGCCTGAAAAGGGTCTGGGCAGTACCTGTTATGAAAAGGAACAGCACAAAGTGTGAAAGGACAGAAAGCCATAAATCATCTCAATAGAGCCCCACTTTTCTGTTGTGGTTTTGCTGGTTTACAGCCAGGACTGGAACAACACTAAATAAAATACATTCTTAGGGAGTACTAGTGACTGTATAGTAGTAATAATTAATGCCAACAGAGTGAAGTAGTTCAATATTTCTAGGTATAATAAACAACAACAGTTTAAAAAATGTGTTGTGATACCAAGAATGGGATATGCTTCAACAAATTAACCAGAAATGTGCTATGGAGAACTAATAGGAGCATTTTATGACAACTTGGCTGGGCAACAGGTTCAAGCCCATTTAGCCCTTGCCGATGACCGTTTAATGGAAAAGTTATACTTAGTTTTAACAAAAACATTTCATAATCACAAACCATTTTACTAACAACTGGTTATTGTTCATTATAAAGCAAAATAATGAACCATAAGAGAGAAGGGCATTGACCTTGATGCATTTTTAGATAATTCTGCACTCAGTGATTTGTTGCTTTTGGCAAATGCTGATAAGAAATTTAATAGCAGGGGTTGGCTTCATAGTTGTTTGTTGGGTCAGAAACGTACAAAAATATCAGCAGTTGACAGAGTAGGGGCTGAAATACAAGAGATTAGGGAGCACACCGCAACAGTGGCCCATTTTAAAGGACTTGATAAACAAATATCACCTTCAATACTTTTATACACCAAATATAAAAGTTCCCTATAATTAGTGGTCATAATGCTGAGTTTTGCCTCACTAACTTTTCAAAATTACTGACATTCTCCCTCTGCTAGCAGCACAACATGTGATGTAGAATATTTCACTGGTTTCAGGCTACTATGAATTCTATATATTAACTCGGAATAAAAATGTGTTTGTCAAACAGAAAGTATGTATTATATGTAATATATATTATATGTAATATATGTATATGTAATATGTTGAATCAAATCAGCAATATCAAGGAAACAGAGAGAATAATCTAGGTCAATCAACAACTAGCTGAAACTGCTCAAATAAAGCCCAATATCCAACATTTTTTTCAAGTACTTTTACTCACCATTCATTTTATGTACTTAGAACTTTCTGTATTTTGTTATTCTCTGGACCTATTCATTGGCAGACAGCAGAAAGATTCACTGACCCATAAATGAGTGTACAAGGGAAAGCACAAATGCTATGAGTCAATACGGTTATGAGACAAGCATCAGATGTTTTATTTCACCCTGGACAGACCTTGAAGGCTTAATCGTGTCTGCTGTCATTCCACATAACTACTCCTTCACACCACTATAGAAAACTCTGTCTAGCCCCTTGACTCCTCCTAATTCTTATTACTAGTCATTTGAAACACAATTACATGATATAATTGCTGACATTAGAGGTTTTGGGGCCCCTCACACAGCAGTTTTGTAACTAAATTACATTGGTATCAGCCTGTTCACTGTAAGCCACTAGAGGAACTGAAACATTCCACAAATCAAATCAGCAGGTGCCAGTCACATTAGCAAAGACAGTTTCATCAAATAAAACCAATGCATTGTAACAAATGCACTTATGCTCCCTCAATTGGAGGATTTTGTTTGTTGGAGTCTATTTCAGTTCACCAGTGTAATCCAGGTTTTGTCTTGAGTGCCTACATTGGTTAGCAGAAAAAAATGTGCCCTATAGTGTATAATGTAGGTAGTACAATAATCCACTTTTTTTCTCGCCGGTACCATTATAGCCTCATTGCCCATCTTTGGCTTTCATGAAGCCACAGGAGTAGAAAATTGGTGAACCAGTGAAGCAGGTTATTAAAGAGCAAGTGCAAAAAGTGAGAAAAGACACTTGCTCTGCACAGGGTCAATGAACTTGCAAAAAGAACACTTACTGTTGGTTACAGTGTGTGTTAGACACTTGAGAGCCTCACAATACCACACTAGCCCATGACCAGACCTTGACAGCTTTTCCAACAACTGGGACACAGCTATGGCCTTTGATTCTCTCATGTCAAAGTCCTGCCGTGCACTGTTCTCCTGAACATCACGCTTTTCATCCAAATCAAGCTGTAGCAGGTATCCTATTTGTGCAACCGAAAGAAAACAAAATAAGTAATCCTAAATATGTATGTATGCATGTATAACACTATGAAAATATGTGCTACCATTTTAAAGGTCCAGTACAGACAAACTTATTGAGATTTAACTAATCATCTTATAATGTTTCCTAAATATGTTATTTCTTGGTGGCATGGTGATGGTAATCCTTCCATCTCACACCATTACCACACCATGGAAAAGAGGCTAAACTATTTACTATGCAGCTAACCCACTTTAGTGCAAATGCCAACTGCTTTACTCCCCAATGCACCAGCGGAATATATTTGAAAAAGGCTAAGGTAGCCAAAAAGAATTCAGAAAAGTTTAAAAATGGCGACAGGACTTTTTACACGAAACATGAAAATTGTTTTCTCAGATGTCACTGTTTTGCTGTTACAATGTTGTAAACTGGTGTACCGTAGTAGAAAACTTACCTTTTATCATATCCTTTCTTGCAGGCTCAAATTCCACTATTTTTTCAAAGCATTTCCTGGACTGAAAAGAAAAAGGATTTTGCCCTTTACTTGTAACACATACAACTCTTTGACCTGCTATATGTTGTTGTAAGTCATTTCACTATTTTCTTGATATATTAATCATTTGCAAGTAGTTTGTTGAGATGTCAGTTCCACTCACCTCATTGTAGTTTTTCAGAGCCTGGTATGCTTTGCCCATGTGTAAGTAAGCCTTAATGCATTTTTCATTACACTACAAGAAAATAATAGATACATACGTACAAATATACATATATACATTGATACATACATTCATGCATACATACAAAAGACTTAGAATTTTGAAAAAAACAAAAAAAACATCTTACCTTTAATGCCCACTCACAATCACAAATAGCCTCCTTATACTTGCTGAGCTTCATATATGCCTTATAGTCACAAAACATACCAAAGAAATCATCAATAAATCATTAAGCACTAATTCTGTCACATGTGAAAATAACTAAGGACATGTTATTAGACTGACTTAACTTCGTTTGTGGACAATACTCACTAGCGCTCGGTTGGTGTACAAAACCTGCATGTCCTTTAGTTCAACTAAGCCCTCACTGTAATATTTCACAGCCGTCTCATAATCTTCTTGAGCAAAAGCTTTGTTGCCCCTGTCTTTGAGAGCTGTAAAAGCCATACAAATGAGTAGAAGAGTTAAAAGAATATGTAAAAAAAAGAAAAATTAAAATTACATTTTTACAAACCAGTTGCTCTTTTCTCCTTTTCCGTCCTCTTTTTTTCCCTGTCTTCAGCATCTTTCTCTATTGTTTTCATAAAATTCTCTGTTAAAAATATATTTAAAAAAATATATTTTTCAAAGTAGCCTAAATCATTAAAAAATCCAACTAGTTGAATAAGACGTGAAAACAAATCATTCCACAGAGCATTTAAAAAAAAAAAAGAATAACATTCCTCCATAATATTCCCACCTGGACTTTGATCTTGCGTGGCACTCTGTCAAGGAGAAAATGAATACTTATCAATAAACGCTGCTTTGTAATCAATCAATCAAGTGACGTCAGACAGACGAAATAATGAGCACAAGAGAAGAAAAAAAAAGAAAAGAAAGTAGGCCAGAGTCTTTACCGTGGGAGCCTGGAGGGGTGGCACTGGATTGATTGTAATGTGGCTGAATGTTGTTTTGCACGGTTCACGCGAAGCAGCGATGTGGCGGTCAGCTTCTTCTATGGCTTTTTGCTGTATGCCAGTGTCTGTGGAGTTAAGATTCTGCACAAGCTCGCCTGAAATAAAGTTTAACGTAAATTATCCATCAAGCTAGATATCACCATTATTTATCTAAGTTAGCTAGCTACGTAAATTGCACAATCAATATGATGCAAGTTAACTAACACAACAAAACATTAATAATACACACAATAATACAATAAAACAAGGCTCCCGTAAGTTACTTACTTATTTTGTCAACGTTATTCAAAAAACTCTCAATGTCTTGCAAGTGGTCCATGTTGAATAGTTAAAGTGTGTAAAAAACAAAAGGATATAGCTAGCTTCACAAAAGTTTGCCAATTACCGCGTGCTAAAATGTCGCTTGTTGTCGGTTCCCATGGTGATGAGTGAGCCTAGCTCCGCCCACCGAGGTTTTATTATAGACTGTGGCTGCACGATCAGCGGAGGACCACCATAGAGTATCCCCTGTAAACGCTGCTTAGCTACTTATTAGCATAAAAATGTGTGTTTGTGTTTGTTTATGTTAGAAGTGCCCTCTTCGCTGGAATAGTGTTTTGTAATTAGGCAAGGTTAAAGCAACCGTATACATGAGCTGCTGCAGGAGTGCATTCATCACACTCATCAGATGTAGGCTATCTGATGCTGGAGAAGGATAAGAAGCGCCAGTGTACCTGCTCCTAGACATCATCTTCGTTAAGGTGTTGCTGAGACTTGTCATAATGTAGACTGGAATTAAAATATTTTTAGGCTGAAGGAGTGACAGCTCTTAGATGATACAGTTCATGTGAAACCGTTCATTGCATATAGCCTAAAACACTTCTCCTGGATAAGGAAAACCAGGAATTTGTTAGGTGAGATTAGATCTTTGCTTAATTGTTATATTTTGAAGAATAAATTGCCTTTGATTCCTTAACAGCAACATGCTGACACTGGGATTAGAACTGTTGTGCAGTCAGCCTATCATGACAAAAAACTCATGCATGTTTGTGTAATCTAAAATGAATGCCTAGTCTTCCATTTTTGTTACTCCCACACTCCAGTCCAGCGCTCAAGCCATCAGGACCATCTTGGTGAAGGTCAAGATCATACTTACTACCACAGGAGGAGTACAAGAAACAGAATGTGAGGTGAGACTGAACTTCTTGCCCACAAATCCAAAGAGGTAGGGGAGTTTGATCCCTGACATTTGTCTAGTAACTTATGCAACTGATGGGGGTCAGAGGTGCCATATTATTACTACAATATGTTATGTTTTACGTTGGTCAAACAATACATTATTCAGAATATTAGTTAGTTTTTGAGTTATTGCTCTCTTGTAGTCTTAAATTTCCACTGGTTCACCATTATGGCCTACTTGCTAACATGGATAGAATGCCTGCAGTTGAAGTGTAAAGTGTCTGTTCATGTTGTGCTTGTCTATATTGGCCGACCCTCTCTAACTTGCCTTTGATCTGCATTTAACCCACTTAAAAACATGTATCATCTGAAAAAAAAATGTTTAGTGAGTGAGATGACCATAGCCAACCCTTGAAGCTCATCTACTCACCTCTTACCTGTTTCGTGACCTCAGACTTCTAATCAGACATAGTGACTGCAGAATTATGATCTTCCCATGAGAATCTCTGACCCATGTACCAGTCCAAAGGTAGGCTATAGTTCTGGATTGCCTTAATTTTCCATCACACCAGCTCAGATCTTTGAACATCCGTTTAACTGCCATGACAAAGTATAGACTTTACAAGAAGTGCAGAGAGCCTGTCGCCCTAATAATTTGCAACTATTAGTGCTGTTTTCTTATAGTATGCAATGATATGGAGGAACTAATTCATCATCTGGTAATGCAGCCAAGTTCATAAATGAAAATTACTGATTTTAAATGTGAGAATTTATTGTGTGATGTGTGTGAATACATAGGTAATAAGTAGGCACCATTTTACTCTGAAACGCTTTAACGACAGATGGTAATTAGTTTCCAAAGCTATAATCTAGCAAAGTATCTCTGCTGTTGAGCTTTAAGTAATTGCTTTTGATAAATACATTAAATGTAACTGAACTGCATATTCACATTTGATCGACGAGCTGCACATCTGTGGGCTTTTTCTTCACTGCTAAAACATGAATTCAACTTTGCAATAACACGAGTTTTGCTTTTATGTCATATGTTATAGAAATATTTTCAATAGCTTAACTTAATAAAATTAATATCTTTCAAACTGTTTTAAAGTATAGTACATAATTACAACCCACCTATAAACAGTGACCCTATGAAGAGGTCAAGCTCTGTTGTTTACGGTAAGGACTAGAAGATGTTTCTTTTACATTATGGACCCACATTGCCTCCTAGTGGCAATTTTTTTTTTTTTTTTTTTTTTTTTTTTTTATTATGAAGCCTTACGTATAGGGAATATAAGGGTTGAGGAAAATTAACGAAATTCCATTTACAATTGTGATAAAGACAAGTAAGTTAAATGTGAATACATCAAATTCAAAATGTCAACACTGTATTAAAGCAAAAGAAACATAAAAATAACACTTAAATGTTTAATCCCCCTCCAACAATTAACTGTATAATATCATTATACAGACCTAACACAAAATGGATTAACTTATTTTATTTTGTTGAGCACGCTGTCATTACAGGATGCTAAACAGTTCTGTCTTGGTAATTATGACATTTTTTGGCAGAAGGTTCAAAGAATGCAGTCAACAACATGAATACAATGGGGTCTCTTGTGTTCGTATGTATTGAAGCTTTCATCCATAAGTTTCAATGGAATTTGATTTATAACCACATATGCCCTAATTTTAAGTTCAAGTTTGGGTAAAAATGTGTGTATGAAGACAACAGTGGAGCCTATTGAGACTTTTAAAATTTCCTGCAGCTGCTGGGGCTATTATGTCTTGTGTAATAAGGATAATGCAGTGATTGATTAAATGCTCCCCTATCTGTCTTAGAAGAGCCCAAGGAATCTGACTTTCCATTAGTGCAAGTTACACAACTTAAAACTACACAACAACATCAACAACAAAAAAACTCCTGCCTAGCTTTCTGAACTTACATGCAGACCTGTTAAGTGTATTTTTGCAAATCTAACTGGCAGCCTACATGTTTTAAGTCAAGAGGGTAAACACCATCATATATTTCCTGTGCATTACTCCATCCCATAGTTCCAGTGATATGCTGCAGTATCCAGCAAGTAGGGAATGAATGGAGCCATATTTAATTCAGTCATTATAATCAACTTCCATGAATGCACATTTCAATGCATAACAATAAACACTATAATAACGACACAAATTACAAGGTAAGACAGCTGTATTTTAACAATTTACATTTAAAGTGCAATACAGGGTCATGGATATTTTGGATTCAAGCCTGAAGTCCTGGACAATAAATTATAGGTCCCCCAGCATACATTCTGCCCTAGTTCACCTCTTCTATATACAACTGTTAAATTGCATGCGCCACCTCCATTACCTGGCTCCCGTGTGACCTTGAACCTGACCATTGGCTAACACCTCTGAGTTCACAGCTGAAAGTCATGAGGCATCCACCAGCACCCTCACAATGTAAACACAGCTCTCAGTGAGCAGACTGTCATTTGAACAGCGCGGACTAGACATAACCTGACGGCATAATGTGTGCTGTGTGGGTGCTGATGCTGAGCACATGTAAGGAGGTATGGATGAAGGCTAACTCAAAGCCAACAGAGACCATTTTATAAAATATAAAAATTATATTTTTATCTTTACACACACACTGCATAATCACTTTCTTATAGTCTAATTTGTTTAGTTATCAATTTTGTTATATTGAACAACTATTTTTTCTAAACTCCAAAGCATTAAGGAGGTCAAATGACCATTTTCCTCGAGAATGTAAGGGTTGTATGGGTTCCCTGTGGAAGAGTTATTACAATATTTTAAGTTTTAAAGCCATATTTATTGGCTTTTTGATAACAAAAACTATTTAGCCATTTACAAAGAACTGTAAGTGCCATATCATATTTCAAAAAATGATAATGAAATGTTCTATGGAAGCAAGGCTTAACCGCAAACAAGTGCTGGGCTTCAGAGAACACAGAAGTAAACACTGTACTGTGGTAATAAATGTTCCAGGAGATACAATGTGTACAGTAGGGATATTTCCAGTATCAGCATTTTAGTATGTGATTCTGGGAAAGCAGAAGTATCTGATATCAGTTTAAAAAGTGTCTGAGTTACTGAGAAGCACTATGTAAACAGATGTATTATTATTGTTGTTAATTATATGAGTTATTCACATAAAGTTTTGGTGTGCAGCTAGGGAAGCTTCAGTTAAAAAAAAAACAAAAAAAAAACTGGACTTCCATAGCCATTGGCAACCCAATAGAAAAGAGTCTATGAGAATACAATAATAATTAAAGCCGCTCACAGCGATGGTGGCCCTCGCCCCTCCCATGCGACCGCCAGGGACTCACAACCCCCCCGGCATGCCTTTCTCTCTTCCTGGCCAACACCTTGTCCATTACAAAAATTACATAATGCACCTTTAAATGTTTCTGAGGAGTCATTGCGCCCCTACTGGCCAACTGTGAAAATGCCCAATATCCGTAATATACTTTTTTGCTCACAATCATGCATAGAATTTAATCCATAAATTTGGTACAAGTCCGATAATGTTGACGTTTCATGTCTATGCAAGGGGGCGCTATAGTGTTTTCTTTTCATATACTTTATAGCGTATTATAATCAGACCAAAATCACGCATTAAAGGTTGTATAGAGGATTTTCCAAAGAACGAGAAATCCAGCGACTGTTTGTCCTTTTTCAAATGTTGCGCATGCGTGAAACCACCCCCCCTCCCCTACAGCTCCCTACGTAGAAACGCCTCCTCCTTACGCCAGAAACAGGTTTGTTTACAGCCGGTGCGCTGCAAATGACTTGTAAACAACTAACTACAGTGTTGGTTAGGCAAGGCGGAGAAGTGAGGAGCGGGGGGAGCGGGTGTGCGGACATTTCGTGCGCGGACGAGAAGTGAGGAGCAGGGAGAAGAGCGGAGCGGGGAGCAGGGAGAGGAGAGAGGAGAGGGGAGCGGTACGCGGAGATTCCGTGCCCGGAGAAGTGAGGAGCAGGGGGAAGAGCGGATCGGGCAGCGGGGACAGGAGCAGGAAAGGGGTGCAGAGAAGGGTGCGCGGAGATTCAGTGCGAATGAACTAGCTACAACAAGCAGCAGCAAGCGGACTCTTTCTTTGCCTTGAAAATTACGTTTTCAGACATAGGATATCGCTTTCGTGT